AGTGGGATTGCTGGGTCATATGGTAGTTCTATTTGTAGTTTTTTAAGGAACCTCCGTACTGTTCTCCACAGTGGCTGTACCAATTCACATTCCCACCAGCAGTGCAAGAGTGTTCCCTTTTCTCCACACCCTCTCCAGCATTTATTGTCTCTAGAGTTTTTGATGATCCAGCCTAGACTTTGAGACAGTACACTCAAGAGAAAGTCTGGCAGGATAACAACTGCCTTACTGGTCTGTTAAGAATGAGCCTCATTACTTCTAGCTTTTTAGTTAGTTAGCTCTCCCCAATCAAGCAAAGCAGACCAAAGGTGATCACCCTCCAACAAGGTAACTCATCCATGGAAAGATGTAAGAGATGAGTCAAGAGATCAGCAGTTGTTTCTTTAAGGGAGTCCTTCCCCTTGGGTATGTGTAGGATGAGTGTGCCGTAACTGTCCCTCCCTTATACAGGCTGCTACTCTGTACATTCTGTGCATCTGAAGTACAGACTGAAAGAGCTTAAAAGATGTATTAATTCTGATTAAAAAGTTAAAATCCAACATTTTGTAAGCACATGTCACTTAACAATAGTTTTCTTCTTTTAACCAGGTTTTAGCATTCATTTGAATGTAAGGATGCAGGTTATTAAAAATTTTCTAAGAGAAAGAGGCACATTTTCTAGCTCTATGAATAGGAATCTGTAATGACTGGCACCAAGAAAATTACTCTGATTTCATCAGAAAGTGAATGCTGCAAAATTTAAGCTAACTTAGCTTGTTACAATTTCAACTGACAGATTTTTAAATGACTATGAAGTATTTATTGTTGGCTAGAACACTGTACAAAGTATAAAGAAAATCATGGACCCAAAAGACAATGAAAAAAATTGATCCCACAAGAAATACAGGTATCCAAGGAGCAGGGGCTGTTAGAATAAATATAAATACTGTTTGGGGACCTAGAATTTAAGTTACTAATGAGGTATTTCAATAACACAACTTTTCTCCTACATTCTTCTAATCTTCTACCTTGTATTCTCTGAAAAGATGCAATATCCAAATTGGAATGCCCTGTGAACAATCAAAGCCATTCTAAAAATAGAGTGAGCCTCTGCTATGTCACCTGCATACATACGTCCACTAAAATCTTCTGGAATCCCTTTGAAAGCTTTTAGAACCAATTTGAAACTTGGGAATACAAGGAGAGGGATTCCTTTGCTGGATGAGAGCAATAAAAGGCCAATATAAATATAACTTATTGAATAAAAACAGTCAAGCAATTACTCATTCGGTGAATTACTGTTTAGTTTTAGTTACCATGTTCATATTTTTTCATTTAATAAACATTTAAGTGTCTCCTATGAAGTAAATAAAGAAAGAAAATACCATTTGTCCTAAAAATGAAGTAATAACTTGACAAGGTCATAAGTCAGTAAGTGGCCTGGTTCAAGTTCTAAAAGTCTAATTCAAGCCTAGTTCAAGTTCGAAAAGTCTAATAATCTAATTGATTATTCCAGTTATAGAGTTTAGGGAGTGACTGAGCAAACTACTTTAGACCTGGTGGAAAAAGGGATAAAATGGCTGCCACATTAAGTCACTAATCATCCCTGGAATCTAGTTTGGGGTATGGAGATCTCAAAAAAAAGTTTTTTTCTATTAATTGTCTCCAATTCCGCCCCCTTCCTTCTCTCCTGAACCCAATGTAACCAATCTATTGATCTCACCACTCCACTGAAACAGCTCTTGCTAAAGTAGCCAATGACCTCCACACTGTTGAATTCAACAGTCAACGCGCAGAACGCATCTTATTTGAATTATCATCAGCATTTAGCCCAGCTGATTGCTTCCTCCTCTTTAAAATACTTTCCTCAGCTGACTTGAAAGAGACCATCTTTTGCTGATTTGCCTGCTACTTCGCTGGCTGTTCCTTCCTCTTCTCCTTTGCTGGTTCCTCCCATGGCCCAGCTCCCAGACCCCTCTTTTCTCTTTTACGTTCAGTCTCCTGGTGAACTTACCTGGTTTTGTGGCTTCAAATTACCTACGAAGTGCCAGGGACTCCCTAATTTATTATGCACAGCCTAAACCCTCTCCTTACAACTCCAGGCTTAGATAACCAACTTGAAAGTTTATTAGACACCTCACATTTGGCATGACCAAAACCAAATTACTGATTTTCCCCCAACCATACCTGCTTCTATTCCAGGCTTCTCCATCTCAGTACGTGGCAAGTGCAATTAGACAAGTATTTATTCACTTTCTGAGGTTTAGAAAAAGCTTTCGAATTATCCTCAACTTTTCTTCCCCACTCCCCCCCTCCACATCCCACATTCAAACAATCAGCAAAATGCTGTCAGCTCTATGTTCCAATTATATCCAGAATCTGACCACTCTGCACCACCCAGGTCCATTCTACATTCTTCACCACAATTATCCAATAATTAATAACATATCACTGATCTCCAACTCAATAAAGTAATCGTTGTGAAATTTAAGTCAAATTATGTACCTCTTCTGTTCAAAACCCCCCTTGATCCCCAACTTACTTATAATAGCCAAAGTCCTCATGACTTACGTTGAAGCCCTACAAGATCTTCCCCCGCCCCCCATGACTCTGATCTCATCTACTACTGTCCTCCCCATACACCCTGCTCCAGCCACATTGGCTGCCTTGCCATTCCTCAAATACTAAGTAAGCTCCAAGGCCTTTGCGCTTAACCGTTTGCCTTCCTTGAATGCACTTATCAACATGGCTCACTTCCTTACTTCTTTCTGAGGACTTCTCTGACCATCTGACATTTATATTTACTTGTTTGGTTGTTTACTGTTTCCCCCTACTAAAATGAGTCTAGGGGTTTTGTGTTACATACTGGCCAATTCCCAGTGTTTAATATTTAGTAGGTATGAACCAAATCTCTGTTGAATGGACAACAAAACTGATTAAGTGTGTAAAGCCAGGTCACCACTCTTAAGTAACCTACCTAATTTGCTCTGGTTCCTCATGTCTGGCTAGTCAAGAAGAGATTCATTGGCTTTAGCCTGAAAATTACACATTAAGGACATAAGACAGGCTGCATTTGTCTCTACCAAATTTCTGGTCTCCTGAAAGTCTCCTAAGAAAGTTAAGATTCAATGTAATGTAAAGAACTTGTTCCGATCAGTTTCTCTGCTTAGGTAGAATAAAGTTTCTTCTGCATTCTTTCCAATTTAACACAACTGCGTAGAGAAACACAGATGAAAACAATTTTCTGGATCCTTCTATTAAAATGTTACCTCCACACAGAATCTTCTCAATTACCTATGCTTCTTTATTTTCCCATCTTTGCCCATATAGTTAAATGCTCTGGTTGTTCACACTGCCTAATTAACTCTGCAAATTTAATTGCATGAATTTATAAATGAAAATTCTATGAGAGTTCATATGCAAGCTAGATTACATAATCTAAAATTTAAACCACTGCTACTAAGTTTCTGTATTCTCTGAAAGGGGCTTAGTTTTCCTTGAATAACTGGAAAATATCTTCAAAATCTTTGGATAGGTTATGTAAAAGACTCTAGCTACAGAATTTAATCAATTATGGTAAATTCTAACAAATATTCTCAATATTACAGGCATTCTTAAAAGTCTTCAGAGTTATATTTCACTAGTGATTTTTACACATATTGAGACACCATTTACTTTGAAATGAGGTATACTTTATCTCTACAAGCAGGAAGTGGCACCAGGTGAAGACAATGACTAAAGACAATTGCCACATAATCGTTTGCACAGAAGAATTTGAAGTGTGAAATTCTTAAACTACTTTATAACTTACAAAATTGAAATTCGTTAAAATCATGGTGCCATGGCAACTGCTATTTTATATTCAATTATATATATTTAATTGAAAAGTAAATTTCCATTTAATGTTAAGCTCAACAGTTCACACAAATTTATGATAACCTGTAGGAGTGAAATGTACACTTCACATCTGGTCACGGGAAGTGTGCCTTGAATGACAATTGTTGGTAAACATTTTTTTTCCCCCATAACTATTCAAAGCATTTTATGAAGGGCTCAATCAGATCGTGTTAAATTCTAAGTCTTTAACCCCATAATTCTTAAACCAGTAAAATGGCGTCAGAGACGGGATATCTACCCTCATTCACCACTCCCAGGGTGTAAGTAAATAGCAACAAACGGACATTACAAGTTAAAGTCTCAAGCTAGAAAAGGAAAGAAAACGAAACGAAAGGAAAAGAAAAAGACAACGATCCTGCGTTACTGGTTGGACTTCTCTTCCTGGAGCTCCCCAAGTGCCTCTACTGCCCCGAACACTTGATGGCTCCTTCTATGACTTCCAGGACCAACACTGCAGAGGCTTCAAGTTCCTCCAGATTTCTAAACTATGATACGAACGCCTAATCCAACAGGCTACATAGATTCCAAAGTACAGTGCAAGAAAAATTTCTGCAACCCAGAGGCCAACCAAAATGTATTCCTATCTTCCCGGAAAGGCAGAGGAAAGGAGGCTGCTAAAATATAGATAAGTGTAATTGGGAAGGTGAAAATTTGGAGGCAGACACGACTACTCCTTCCCACACTCACGGGGCAGGCAAGGAAAGGGTAAAAGATCTACCCACACCACTCTTCCTTCTTCCTCCTGCACAGCTGGGTGCAAGGATCTCCCCCAGAATGGCAGAGGAAAGAGAAGGGATCGCCACCCCAGGCTGGTGGCACCGTCCAGGCTGTCACTGAGACTGCTGTCACTGAGACTGGAACTCGAGGAGGGGAGCCGGGCGGTGAGGAATTGGGGAAGGCGGGTCATTCCCTCTGAGACTGGTTACGAGGAGATCCTGGTGGATCGGGCTGAGGACGGCAGACGAGCCCAGGATGACCAAGTCTTGCCCCGCGTGCCCGGCTCCCTCGGAGGAAACTGGGTCAGAGTCCGCCCCACCCCCTCCTTTCCGCCCGTACCCGCACTTTTCTGCCCCGGAGGCGCAGCCCTCGGGCGGGCTGGCTGCCGGCCGGCCGGCCCCGCTTACCTGCTGCACCCCGAGGAACTGGTAGAAGTTGAGCTGCACCTCCTCCACCAAGTCAAACAACTCCAGGTCTCCGCTCTCCCAGCCGCGCGCCGGCCCCGCGGCCGCCAGCAGCAGCAACAGCAGCGGCGGCGGGAACTGCACAAGCCGGAGCCGGAGCCGGCGGCGCGGAGGAAGCCGGGCCAGCCGGCAGCAGGGCGCCGTCATCGTGCGGGGCTCGGAGAGGTCACCCGCCGCGCAGCGCCGTCGGCCGAGACCAGGGACGCGGCGGGCAGCGCGGGCTATGGGAACAGTGCTTGTCAGTCGGAAGCACCGGCAGCCGCCCCGGAGTCGCCCGCCCCGCGGCCGGTCCTAGCCTGAGGGACAGGCTGGGCCGCGGGCGCTTCTACCCTCCGCGGACCCCCGCCCCTCACCCAGGCCTACAAACAGCTGGCGAGCCAGCGCCGGGCGCTGAGGTTGCACCGGGTGGGAGAGGTTTCCCCTCGCCTTAGCCTATCCCAGGCCTTGCTTCCGGTGACATCACGTCTCCTAGCAACCGCGGGAGAGGGGGCGGGGCCGGAAGTAGAGAAGCCTGCGCCCCAGAGCTGGGCCTCAGCGAAATGCCTCTCAGTCGCTGGCGCGCTCTGCGAAGCTGTTCGTGTACTGACACAGATTAAGAGACGTGGACGGTTATAGACATCGCGCATCCACCTGGAACATCCCAAATATCCCTGAAACAGCTACCTTCTTACCCTCCCCCAGATATTGAAAACTAAAAGTATATTTGAAAACTGATTTATTGATTACGGCCTCTGTTCCACACATTTCATTATTCTATCCCCAAAGATATAGGAGGAATTGAACCTAGGACTTGAAAGGGGCAAATCTAGTGAGTAGTCTAAAGTATCCTTTTGAGAGAGGTGAAGAAGAAATGAAATTTGAACCAAGACAAAAAGCATACTTCTAATAATGAATTAAGATTTATAGGCATAATACCATAAAGTAGGCAACCTGGCAGAAATTAATAAGCGTGACTCAATCATAGCCTTAGGGGAAGTGTAGTTTATCTGCTTTAGCCGATTTCCAATTGGTGTTCCCTTCCCAACTGAGGTCTATTTTTAATGACATTTAGGCTAAAAACCTCCTCTCTTTCCCACCAGTGTCTCACCTCCTCCTCCATCCTCCTCCTCACCGCTATTGCTTTCTCTTGTGTGAACCGTATTTTCTTCTTAAGCTTTTGCTTGACCAGTTTTGAGAGTTTGATCTCATGCTTTTCTCATCTTGGATCCAGCCAGCTGAATTAAGCTCAACAGGATAATGATAAAGCTCTCATAGTAAAAATATATTATGTTTGTCAAAGGTTAGAAAAACAATACCTGGATCCAGGAAGTAAATCTTACTGAAGAAATCATTCCAGTACTGCAGAGTTAAAAAATATATAGATATTTTAAAATAGTTAAATGAATGCAAGTATATCTTGCTTAAAAATAATATATATGCTTGAATTAATCCCATTTTAAATTCATCATGAGGCTTACCTTTCAAAGATACAAGAGCAGGGTTGTCTCAGTCAGCAAGGGCTGCTGTAACAAAATACCATAGACTGGGCGGCTTAAACAACAGACATTTATTTCTCACAATTCTGGAGGCTGGGAAGTCTGTAACGGGGAAAGGTCAGCATGGTCGAGTTCTGGTGAGAGCCCTCTTCCAGGTTGCAGAGGGCTGCTTTCTTGCTGTACCTTCACATGGTGGAATTGTGGGGGAGGGGGAGAGAGATCTAGCATTTCCTCTTACAAGGGCACTAATCCCACAGGGTGGGCTCCACCATCATGAACTCATTTAAACCTAATTATCTCCCAAAGGCTGCACCTCCAAACACCATCACATTGGGAATGAGGGCTTCAAAATATGAATTTGGGGAGGACACAAACATTCAGTCCATAGCAAAGGGTATCACCTTTTCTGTGTATTCCCAGTTCCAAGCACAATGCATAGCACATGCTAGCATTCAATTAGTTGAATGGAATCCTGTGAACACCTCCCCACCTCCATGCCTCCCCCTACAGTTTTTTAGTTTGATTTTTTGATATATCAGTTTTCTTGAAGTGAGAGGCATTTTTACCACATCTACGTTAGCTTACTGTTTATTCAATGATTAAAACATCAAAATAAAATGAGAGCAATAATCTTAAGAACTACTTTTACATAATATCCCAACATTCATCTTTTCTCCTAATTTGACCATTAAATTAAGTGCAATATAACATTTGAAACTGGTGCCATATTGCCACTGATATTTTAGTGATCTGGTATTTCCCTCTTGAGCTCTATTCTTATGTTGTCCAAGAACCCCAAGGACTTCCTCCATCTAAAGGGAATAGTTCTCTTCCCAAGGTCAAGCTGAAAAGCAGAACTGAAGTCTATTCAATACAGCACTGCTACTGCTTCTCACTGCTATAAGGTATTGCTCTGGAGGCTTCTTCCTACCAGTTCCAATAACACTAGTCCACTCTGAAGTGATGTCCTTGCTTGTTCTGGTCTAGGTCTCTGCAAAGGCCACAGTGCTATTTACATTCAGACTTCTAATTTGGCATCTTCACGTGTTCAGTCTCATCCCCCAGAGGACAATGCAGTTGAATAAACCTTCTTTTGCTGAAGCCAGGACTAAGTGAGCTCACAATGAACAGCTGTTTTCTTATCTGGTGACATTTAATGATTCTGGGCATGGACTGATGAAGCTTAGCATGGGCAGAGGCAATGTACACAGGAAGAGAGAAGCCAGTGAAATGTTTAACAGTCTTGTGAGTTGTGTAATGGATTGGAAATGTAGAGAGGAGGCCCAGACTTACAGCCAGCTTTCCCACAGAACATTTGCTGAATTCTGGGGTCATGCAGGAGGCCGAAAGACTGAAGGATAGGAAGAGTAAAATCTCCCCACATTCTACCAGTGCATACAAAAGGAACTCTACTGAAAAAGAGGAGCCTGCTTCAAATACACAGGCAGTCTTCTCCCTCAAGACATTTGGAATATTTCTGAAGTTATATGAATAGGAGGATAAAGATTTAAGTTTAAAACCTCTGAAAAGCAGAAGTGAATCTGCTGGGTTGAGGAGATAGAAACCTTGCAGGCTCTCTATCAAAAGACCAGAGGAATCACACTTAAGAAACAGAGAAACCAGAAGTTGAATGAACCTTACTAAAACTCCAACCCAATCCCTACCCAGCTCAATCCCTGATCCTCACCCTATTTGTCTATTTTCATCTCTAGGGGAAAATAACATCAATCCTATTGTCTATTGTTTTTAATATAAAACTCTGGTACATAATAAAAAAAATTATGAGATGTGAGAAAAACAGCAAAATTTTACCAATAATCAAGAGAAAAAAATAGATAATAGAAGACCCACAGATAAGCCAGCTATTGGAGTCCAGACAAGAACTTTAAAATAACTATTATAAAGTAGAGCAATAGTTTATAAAAGAAAAGAAAAGAAAAAGTGGACAAAATGGATTAGAAGATGCAGAATTTCAACAGAGAATTGAATCAATGGAAAATCTCAAATTTAAAAATGTAATATCTGAAATCAAGAACTCAGTGGATGAGTGTAACAGCAGACTGGACACAGCAGAAGAAAGGATTAGTGAATATGAGGATAGGTCAAGAAAAAATACCCAAACTGAAGCAGAGAGAAAAAAGAATGGTAAGAGAACAGAGCTTTAAATGCATGTGGTAGCACAGGGAGATCAGCTCGGTGCTTTGTGACCACATAGAGGGGTGAGATAGGGAGGGTGGGAGGGAGACGCAAGAGGGAGGAGATATGGGGATATATGTATACGTATAGCTGATTCACTTTGTTATAAAGCAGAAACTAACACACCATTGTAAAGCAATTATACTCCAATAAAGATGTTTAAAAAAATGCATGTGGGACACAGTGAATAAATCTAGCACATATATAACTGGGGTCCTAGAAAAAGAGGAGAGAGAGAGAGAATGAAGCAGAAGCAATAATTATAGAAATAATGGCCAAGAATTTTACAAAACCAATGAAAGACATGAAACCAAAGATGAAAAAAATATTAACTCAAATTAGGTGACAGACCTAAAGGTAAAAGCTAAAACTATAAAACTCTTATTTAAAAAAATAAGAGTAAATTTTAGTGACCTTGGGTTAGCCAGTGGTCCCTTAGATATGACACCAAAAGCATGTGACAGAGGAAAAAATAAATAAATTGAACTACACAGAAATTTAAAACTTTTGTGTCACAAACAATACCACCAAGAAAGTGAAAAGACAACCAAGATAACGGGAGAAAAATATTTGGAAATCATATACTTGATAAGAGACTTACATCTAGAATGTGTAAAGAATTCTTGCAACTCAACATTTTTTTTGAATGGGCAATGGATTTCTCCAAAGAAGATATATACAAAAGGCCAATAAGTATATGAAAGCTTCTCAACATCATTAGTCATTAGGAAAATGTAAATCAAAACCACAGAGAGATACCACTTTACACCCGTTCCAATGGCAGTAATTTAAAAGACAGACAAAAAAGAGGCTAGTAAAGATGTGGAGAAAGTGGAACCCTCATTTATTGCTGGTGGGAATGTGAAATGATGCAGCACCTTGGGAAAACCGTCTGGCAGTTCCTCAAAAAACGAAAGATAGAGTTACTATATGACCCAGGAATTCCACTCTTAGGTATATACACAAGAAAAGTAAAAACATAAAGCTTGTATACAAGTGATCATAGCAACATTATTCATACTAACCAGAGTTGGAAACAACCTAAATGCCTATCAACTGATGAATGAATAAACAAAATGTGGTATATCCATACAATGGAATATTATTCTGAAATTTTCTCTTTTGCCCCTTTTTGGCTGTTTCTCAAATATATGGACTTAAAGTTCTAAGACATCATTGTTCTCTAATGGAACATTATCTTGTAATTTATTTATGCAAACATCATTCTCAAACATATTGAGTTGACAAAGGTTAGAAAAATATTGTTTTGGGGAAGCACCTTCTTGAAAAATAATCCCTTTTTTATTGCAGTACTGAATTTTAATCTTTTGAAGGGCCTCAAAAATAAATGCAGATGTTCTTCATGTTAAAATAATAAATACACTTCTATCATGTTGACACTATGGCTTTTACTTCTCTGGATAATGTACTGTTTACTCAATTAATCTCATAGTGCAAAAGAATACAGATTCTAGAGCCAGATGATCCAGTAGGAATTCTGGCTCTATTACTTACTAGCTGGGTGATCCCTGTGTTTCAGTTACCTCATCTATAAAATTTGGATAATAATACTACCAAGACCATAAAATACTACCAAAATTGTTGTAGGAGCTAAGTGAGATAATTAGAGCCTGGTATATAGTAATTGCTATTTAAATGTTACCATTATGTTATGGAAGGTCTCTATCTACTTTGTATTAAGGGCTCCATAAATAAAGCTTATCTATTCTTAAATGTTTAGATTTTGTGTTTAAAGTCATTTGTTATTAGACTTAGGCTGCAAATGCCCACTTCACCGGAAATTTGTCCAATCACTTGTCTGCCCAAGATGGTGGCAGACAAGACCACCTTTACAAAATAATGACTGGTTCTCAAAGTCAGTTTACTTTTTTTGTTCCAACTCCATAAAACATATTATTCATGATTTTCCTGCCAAATTCGGCTTTCATAAATACCTAATTAAAAGCACGTGACACACATGAACAAGAGGAAAGGAAAATACATTCACCATTAAGTCATTAAAGACTCACTGGTGATTGTCTTACCCTGAAGTAGCTCTGTCTTTTCAGATAATGTCTTCTGCTTTACATAGACTTTAATGTGCCTCAGTAGAATCCATGTAAAAATTTCTTTCTCCTAACATCTTACACAATCCCAAGATTATCCTTCATTTTTCAAAGGTTTCCATCAACTCACTGAATCACTTTTTAAATTTGAAAACTAGTTTTTCCCCTTTTACCTTTAACCAACCAACAAGGATAGTCTCTCCCGATTCCTCCATTCAGACTGAGTACAGCCATCGTTGTACTTCCCTCATACACAAAAGCTCCAATTAGTCTGCAAAAGAAAATTTGAACAGGCCTCTTCATATTCTTCCAGGCTCAACAGGCTGGCTTTGGCATTGTGCCCTTGAGCTCTAATGTTGTTTGTGATGCCAAACTGAAACACAAAGGAAACAGTGCAAAGTTGCTGATCACCTCGGTCAACATGCCGCACGGCTAAGGCATTAGATTATGCATAGAAATTCCATGCCTCATAAATGCTTACTATTAAATTTATTAAAAGGAGGTGGCGTTTTGAAATAATACTGAATTAGCAATCAACAATTCTAAATGGTAAGATAGGAGAAATTTAAATTCCTTTACCACACCTATGGCCTAGCTTCATTTCTCCCACTTCAATATATAATCCTCTTTTATTTTTTGCAACCATGGAAGGATTTTTAGTGCCAAGACTCCATAATGAAAGTCTTTTAACTTTTAAAAAATTAAATAATAATATTTTCACCACCAGGGGGCAAAGAACATTTTTACAGGCAAAGATTATTTTTGACATTCTAAAGGAGTTACCTTGTGTGAACACAGTTTTTGTTGTTAGAATTTCAATAGCTTCAAATTAAGAGATACAGATCCTAACCGAAACCTTTAAATTTAAGGAAGAATCGTGTTTATAAAATAGTACAAGTTACCATTAACCAGGTGCCCTTTCATTCACTATCATTTTAGATGCTTAAAAAGAAATTTTCCACCTCCCTTTTCCCTTTCCTTTTGTATGTTTGCACAAGAGGAGGAAAAACATAATTTGAACTTCTGAAATATTAATTTAGCCTTTGTCTATGCTGGGCTTTAAATGGCTTTTAGCTCATGGTATTTTTTGACAAATGGTTTCCTAAGCATGTATTTCAGCTCTGCTTTGTTGTTAACTTAATGTGATTAAGTGATGTACTCAGGTCTTTACCTCCTTCTAAAATTGGGTTCATTGACTCAATTAATGCTTTGTCATTTGTTAATTTTATAATTGAGAAATGATATAAATAACTGATAAGCACATCAATTCACCAGCTATCTCTTTTGAGACCTGGATATCGCTGAATTTACTAAGAAAGTACCAGAGTCATGAATAGACAATAAACAGAATTATCTGTATAGTAAATTACTGTTCAGAGGTGAAAAATTTGGTCTAACACGTGTTAAGTCCCGTATCCTGAAGTTTCAGGAGATTTGATTATTTCTGACTTGTACGTTGATGAAAGTTCCAGTAACGGAAGTGAAACTGAGAGTTTTTAAATCAAGGTATCTGTGGTGTAGGCAAACAACCACATTTTATTCCTTGGCTTATTTTCTTTCCCCTCTTCCTGCTTCTAAGTACCTGCTGAAACCACATTTCCCTGAATCGATTATAAGGATGCCGCTATTTCAAATCAGGCCTGAAGTAGAATGGACACATAGTGATCTGGTAAGCTCTGCTACTGTTCTTTCCTTCTACTGCTCCCCGGGGCCTGGTCAGCATCTCCATTGTCAGCCACAGCCCCCCATGCCGCCCCCGCCCCTCCCCCTCTCCCTCCTCCTGGCACCAGGGCTGTCTCCAGGGGGTGCAGAATTGGGCCAGATACCACCGTATGTATGTTCACCTACAGAACATTTTTGTCCAGATGAAATCATGTTGAAACAAATATTGACTGCAAGCTTAAGGAGAAAAAGAAGTTGCAAAAGGTCAGCGTTAAGGGTTTATTTAGAGGCACACACTAAAGAACATTCTATGACCCACCACTTATATATTAGTGATAAAGGGAAACCTAGAGACAAAGTGCGGGGTTTTTTTCTGTTGTCAATTTGCTTTTTTTTCTATTTGTTGTAGTGTGAATTGACGGAATCCTTCTTTCTAGTGTGTCCTCAAGCTGTTGCCCAGCCACTGGCAGCAGGCTGGAGAAGGCTAACCTTTCCATTCTGAACCTTGACAGCCTGTGTTAGATAACTTGGTGCATCTTTTCAAGTCCGCTCTGCCTCATGTGTAAACTAACCTCGGCCAGTGACCAGTCCCACGCTGCTTCAGCCAGCCTCCTACAGGTGCACCCAGAAAGCTCCTTGCCTTGGGCCAAGTTTTCTGAGCTCCTTTTGTAATGGCAAATGGTTGTCAGTAGCACGCTATCTACAATTTTCTAAAAAGCTTTAAACCACATAGAATCTCTTAAAGGTAAAGACAATATTCTAAAAATGACTGAGAAAGAATCTCATACTATAGAGAAAGTAGGGAAATGGGTGTTTGGAAATTCATCATTAGGTGAATATGATTTTTTTCTTTTGCCAAAAATTATATGTGTCACTAATAAAAATTCTCCTACCTGGACTCTTAAGAACTTGTTTTAAATCTTCCAAATGTAGCTTTTCAGTGGATTTAAAGTCCCTTTGTTAAGAATATAAAAACCCTTCATTTTCAGTTCATTTTCAAGAATAATTATTTGACATAAGGGAGGATGGAAAATTACTAAGCTAAATTTTAGCAAAAACCTTTGCACAATTGCTGAATGGAAATGCAAAAAGAGCCTATGACTTAGTAGCAGAGCCAAGCATACACTTCTTGCATTTAGATCTATGTCTCTTTGTGAGGAATCTTTCTCACCTATGACACCCATTCAAACTAAGCATCTATATAAATTGAAATTAAAATTGGACCTTTAATTTATCACAAAACGTTCAAACAGATTTCTAAATTAACACATCATTTTAAACCAGATTTCTCTCAATAAAAATAGATGGTGATAATATTCTTCATTTTTGGAGAAAATCTTGGTTTAATCAATACTTCATGATACAACGATTAGGTCAATTTTAAGGTTAACTTTAAAAATATTTTTCTCCATTGCTTAATTTTCTTTCAAAGCATTTACTTTTTCCTCATTGTTAAAACACTACCTTTACTTTGAAGGATTATATTGTGCGTTTATTTATTTAATTTTTTTAATTGAAAAATCCCATGTCTTCCCATCACACTTAGAATAAATCCCCGTTCTTTTAAATCCTCCATAATCTGGCCTCTGTCTACCTGCAGCCTCACCTTGTACCATCCTCTCTCTCAGCACACTGGTTCTCCTTCAGAGCACACCAGGCTCATCCCGTTTTAGGGACTTCGCCCTCCTTCTGCTCCAATACTCTTCCAGATCTTTGTCTGACTGGCATCTTCCCTCCTTTCGACCTGCATTGAAATTCTACCACCTCTGGTAGGCTTACCTTAATCCCCTAACCTAAAAGGGCACCCAGATGCTCTCTTTCACATCACGCCCCTATTCAATCCGCTGCCTAGCATTTACCATTCTCAGTTATCTTCCTTGTTCATTCATTATTTGTTTATTGTGTGATTCCACTCACTAGAATGCAAGCTCAATGAGAGCAGGACTATGTCTCTCTTGCTCATTCCTCCAAATGGTGCCTAGCCCATATTAGGCTTTCAATAAATATTGTTGAATTGAAAAAGAAAAACACCTTTCTTTCTCCGAGGGTAATAATCTATTGTATTATGGATCAGACTTCTAAAACAATAAAGTAAACTGGAGAATTGCCCGAGTTCAAGCCATAGGAGAATAGCCAGCTCTCAAGGTAAGCTGCTACGTGCATGACAAGTTCCATGTTTTACCTAGTAGAACCATGTGGTTCATGGTGGAGGATGTGATGAATTGACCTACATGCTGTATTGATAGAAATCATTGGTTGCACTATGTGGTTGGGTAACAAGTCTGAAGTAACACTGACTCCCCAGGGACACTGTAGGTATTCTTAGTCATTTTGATCAGTATATATTAAACTAGTCATGACTTTTCAAAACAAATCAGATTCTAATGTGGTGCCAAAATGAAGACTAGGTCCAAAAGTTCTTCAGTCACATAAAAGTTCTCACTGACATCTTGAATAAATAAAGCTGACAGGTACAATTTATATTTATGTTCTCCCAAGTGGCAATAGGACATGCCACAGATAATTCTAATTTTTCTCAAGATTTGTCCTGTAAGTTCTAAGTCATGTCTTCAACATGCAGAGCAATAGTATTTCTGAGAAGACTTAGATATGCAAATATGATCATTTTACACACTCACTATAAAAGGTTTTAAAGCCCAACCAATTCTTTCATTTAGTACAGGATTGCATTTTACGGAAACATAACTGTTTTCATTTATATTCCAAAGCAATGTGTGTTGATATTTCAGTTAATGTTATCTTTCATTAGATTTTTCATCACATGCCTTTTCCATGTAAGGTCATAGTTGTGGTTAAAGCTTGTTTCATAATGATGTCTCAAGCTGTATTCTTTTGACACAAGAACACTTTAAGCACACGGGAATAGTCTCATTTCAACAGAGAATAATGCTTGCTCACAATTTTTTTTTTTAAACTTAAAGCCTTTGTGGTAGGGTTGTCGTATTTAATAAACAAAAATACAGGACACCTAATTAAATTTGAATGTCAGATAAACAACAAATATCACATGGGACATACTTATACTAACAAAAATTAATTGTTGTTTATCTGACATTCAAATTTAACTGGGTATGTTATCTGGCAACCCTGGTCTGTCTTTGTTTTTTCCACTTTTGATAGAGACATAGGTTGAAATACATTCAAATGGTCTTCCAGGAAGTGGTGATGTCTTCATTACTTTCTTGTTAGCTATTTTTAAGTGTTGTCAGATGTTTTAAAATCAAAATGGGGGAAAAAACTACTTGAAATAAATGAAACATCAATTCTGAAGACTTTGGAAACCAGGCAATAAAGGATTTCATTATGTCAAACAATTGAAAAGCAAATATTGACTGAGCATTTACCATGTATAAGGCATTGTATTACAATATGCCACAAGCACAAAAGAAGGGAAAAAGACAAACTCTCAGCCTCTGGAGAATTTATATATTTTGTGGGGAAGCTAACACAGCTACACATAAAAAGATAATAGTACAAGGCAGTAGATGGTAAGTGCCAAAGGAGTAATAAAGACAAGAGGGTTCAGGAGATCAATCCCATCTGTGTCTTTGGAGAAATGGAGTAGGAGGAAGGGGGTGTTTTACGAAGTGCTTTATGTTCATCGTCCTGTTTAAGCCTCCTGCTATGGTCTGAATGTCTGTGTCCCTCTCCCTCCCACTCCTGCAAATTCACACGTTGGAATAATAATGC